ACTACAATCTATGCTTAAAAAATAAGTCTGGGGAAATATGAGACCTAGATGCTCACATAATATATTAATCGAACACTAAAAAGTAGGAGGAATGGGATTTGTTGACATTAGGGACTATCACAAAGCATCATTATTACACCAACTCAAACATTGGTTAATAGTGGAAGATAACAGTAGTGGTGTGAACCTCCTGCGCTAAAAACAAACAAAATTATAAACCAAGAGAAGCTGCTAACATTAAATCATATACCAATGAATTTGTGAACTAATAAGTAAGATGTAGCGCTACTCATATAAAATATTTATCCATGTATAAACCCACAATATGTGTATCTAATCATAATTATATATAACTTATCATTTGATCATTTGATATATCTATAATAATACTACCAATACCGTGCCCTTTTAAGTGAAAATTTCCATACAAATACTAAATATCATCCAGTGATCAGTGAACCCAAAATAAATTACAACAATGATAGTGATGAAAAATAAAATAAAAAATATATATATAAAAAATAAGGATCAATATTTCCAACTATTGGAAATATATAATATATAATCAATTCCAAAAAAACATATATTCGTGCATCTATAAGAATATATAAATAAATATATATAAAAACATAAATACCCATTCAGTGAAAATAAATGTGCATACAGGTGAAAAGAGTGCAACAACACACAACACAAAAATTATATATTTCTGTGCTTATAAAGTCCAAACACATAGATGATCACACTCCAATCAAAAACTCATGCTGATATTAGTGTGACAGTGGGTTGATTGTTGACAAAATATCCGACCACCGGGTAGATCAGCCTCTCACCTTAAAACTTCGACCCTTGCGGGTCAAAACACTTAAATAGGATCCCTCTCACAGATCCTTCAGGGCGGTTGTCACTCCAAAGATTTGTTCCCACTGCATACACACACAAACTCTCTCTAAGGGTCAGCACTACAATAATGGCTCCTCTCCAGACAAGATCAAACGCTGCGCTGTATTTAGGCAGAAATGTACTCCTGGCCCATCAGGATGTCTGGCTTCTGGTACAAGACCCTGCGGCCTGTTCGGGATACACGGGTACAGCCGCCGGCCACCTCCTCCTCCGCCTCTCTATCCAACACATGCACAGCCAGCTCCGGACATTTGCCTTGACGAGGAGATCAACCCTCCTCCCTTCTGAAAAATCAACCTATACACACATAAGTTGCCTATCGAAACATTCAGTAAAAACAATATATATACATAAAGTATCTTTACAGTTCTATATCTCCGCCACTCCTAAATCAGGTGGTGTCGCCCTATTTTATAACCTTCTACAAATCTGTAAATCAGAATTTAACAAGACTACTCCCTTAATCAAGTGGGAAAAAGACTTACAGACTGAAATCTCTAATGAGCAGTGGGAATGTGCATTCAGGAATGTGTTTTCAGCTACTAGATGTGTTAACCTTTGGGAGCCAACACACAAAATTTCCACAAGATCGTATCTAACTCCTAACCAAATGGCCAGATTCTCAGAACAACATAGTCCTCAATGCTGGAGAAACTGCGGTCAGATTGTTACTCTATTACATATATTATGGACAGTATTAGACGCTATTGGTATAAAGTTTTCCACATGATATCGGAAATTACTGGGATATTAAAACAACCTGATCCTACCCTAGCCCTTCTGAATATAAATATAGACACCTATCCAATCCATTATCGACTCTTAGTGACACGTATTCTTCCAGCATCAAGACTTACCATTACTAGACACTGGAAAAAAGACTTAGCCCCTTCTCTAAAAGAAGTCATTGAGCTATTCCAGACCAACTTTATGAGAAATCTTTAGCTTACCTAAACGATAGAATTACTAAATTTGACAAAGCTTGGAAACCCTGGTCCGACTGGTTCAGAACTGTACCTAAGATATTATGTTTAACCTTTTCTTGGTTACTCTAAAATTATTTTGTGGAACTAGTAGGACTGTTAGGAATTATTCAATATTTCCTTTTTTCTCTTTGTTAAACTTTCCCGCAGCACTATACTGTGATATGGTGTAGCTTTTCACTGTCCTCTTTTTGTTTTTTTTTGGATGTTGTTGTAACTATATTTGTAAAACCAAATGAAAATTTATTATGGAAAAAAAAAAAAAAAAAAGCACAATTGAAAGGCTAGCTGTTTTCACAGAGGTCAAGGTTATAGTCGATATACTGTAGTACCTTCTATGAAGTCAAATCTTCATAAAGGTTTTTCAGTATAAACATGTTATTCTTTATTCATTACATCTGCAATAAATGATTGAAATTTTTGTTTTTCACATTATGTATTCAAGGATTTCTGTAAAAGCTTTATATAAGACGTTTTCAGAAATAAAATGGATACATGAAAAATTATTTTCAGATGTACAGTTTGCCACTTTAACAAAGAATTGCAGGAATTATGAAAATAAAGTGAACCTGTGCTCAGATTGTGCACTCTAAAATATTTCAATATTCTGAAAAAGAAACCTAAAATGATCCCTCATTCATATCTGTATCTGTAAGAATTGTGCAGAAATTTAATAACTCCAGGAAAAATTACTTAAGAAAAAAAAAATCTGCTGGATTACAAGGAGTTAAATTGCAGGAGGCTGTCCATTCACAGGAAGCTTTGTACTTTGTGAATAGTTCACAGAATAAAAAGTGACTGAACAAAAGCAGAGAACAAACAGGGCGGCTGCTGTGTAGGAGAAGCAACGGAAGTATAGTGGGAGCTACACTATTGGTGCTCAATAAAACTATAAATTGTAAATAACAGACAGTGATCCAGGAGGTGGCATTCACCTCCTTGACATTTAAAACTAATCTCCGGGAATAAGCTATTTTTTTAATTTTATTTTTAAAAATGACATTGAGCCAGTTTGGTTGCATGCAATTATGGGTATGTCACATATTTAGGGCCATGTGTTACCTGTTCATAATTAAATACAGTTGTGCTCAAACGTTTGCATACCCCAGCAGAAATTGTGAAAAATTGGCATTGATATTAAAAATATGACTGATCATGCCAAAAAATGCTCTTTTATTGAAGGATGATGATCATATGAAGCCATTTATTATCAAATAGTTGTTGGCTCCTTTTTAAATCATAATGATAACAGAAATCACCCAAATGGCCAAGTTTACATACTCTGGAATGTTTGGCCTTGGTACAGACACACAAGGTGCATGTGATCGCTGTGACCATTCACAGCTAGACACACTTGTATACAATGGATGGCATGAAAGGAAGCCATCCATTGTATACAACTGTCATGTGACCTGCTGTGATTGGTCAACAGGGCTGGTACACAGATCTGTCATCGGCTGTGTCCGAGGTACACAGCTGGTGACAGATCTCTTCACAGTGCGGACCTACTGCAATGCGCGTTCCAGGAAGGACGCCATATGGCGTTCTCCCGGAGGGAATAAGTGTTCGCCCGGCCATAGGCCGGGCGGCAACTGGTTACAAATACATAAAATGTTTGTTGTCCTGTAAAAGTGGAATAATACTGATCAGTCCCACCTCTGGTGAGTCCAGGCTGCCCTATCAAGCATTGGTAGAACTTTGAACATGCAACATTTCTGGGTATATCAGATTCTCCCTGGTGACCTCTGTGGTTCCACCTGCCAGTCGCCACGCCACTAATGTGTCCCTGCAGCTCTACAAAAGTCCACCAAAATGAATATTTAGTTAAATTGTCTGCATATTGTGGAGTACAACATGTTAGATAGCAGTTTGAATGATTGGAAAAAAAGCTTGTTTGAAAAGTCATGGTTTGGCTGAGGGAAGGTCTTCCAGTGGCATCCTGAAAGCTTTTAATCATCCGGTATATCATCTGTTTCAGGTGGAGTTTTGCCTTAACTTTTTTGACTTGCCACTTCTGTGTAGTTCATAGTTATTTTACAGGCTTGTCATCCTCTGCTTCTTGAAATGTATTTAAAATACCACCTACTACTGTAGCAATAAAGGAATATTTCACATAGATGGGAGTGATGAAAAGAGGAACCCACACAGGTGTCATTTGGGAGCAGCAGCTATTCCGTGCAGCCGCTGCATCCCAGTTGACAGCAGTGGGACTGCCAGCACAGGGATACACGAAACAACTGTGCATCCCCGTGTGGACATAGCCTTCCATGGTTGTATGGCTATGCACGCCCCGTGTGACCGTCTTGGGAAATTCACCGTGAGATTTGTAATATCACTACACTGCTGCTCACTGTTCTCCTTTCCAAAGAGAAAGCTGTACTTGCGGATCTGTATTCAAGAATCTCCCTGCTTCATTCATTTTGTGGATCTGTGCTTTCTAAACTTCTCCTGCTGCTTCTTGATCATTACTTCACCAATCATCCAATCAGGTGGCAGTTATGGCATTAAAGTCAAAGCCCTACTTCTCTAGCAAGATGGTTGCATCCACAGAGAGACAATGCAGAACAAGACAAAATAAATCAGCCATGGAGAAGACATGCTTCAAAGGAGTATATAGGCAAAACTGGTGACTAATTTTTGCCCACTGCTTGTCTTTTTTTGTGCACATATTTCACGTTTCAGGTCCTCTTTGCTTCCTCCTTCCCTGTAGCAACTTATACCTGTCCTTACTACTTACTGCTACTGTTACAAGAGGAGAGTCAATAGCTCTGTGTAAACTACGGCGTGAGCAGCTTGTACCTTACACAGGATGGTTTCTCCTACTCAGCTGAAGAGAATGATGGGTCAGCATTCTTAACCTTGCTACTTAGGTACTCCTATTGCATAATTAAAGCGAAGTTCCACTCATCCTGTCAAAAAATAAGTCAGCATCTACAAAAACTGTAGCTGCTGACTTTTAAAAAAACAGCCACTTACTTGTCCCTCGGTCCCGTGGTGTGTCCCCCGCAGCCCATTTGACCTACCGTCCTGGATTCCTGGAGGCTGGCATCCTCAGTGTGAGCACCCGGCGGCTGTGACTGCTTGCAGCTTCACAGACAGGTACCCACTGCGCATGCGTGAGTAGCGCTGCGCTTCATGAATGGTCCTGTAGTCTTCTGGGATCTGTCACGTGTCCCAAAAGACTACAGGGAGGGAGGACACCTTCCATTTCCTATCGCCTAGGCCGTCCGACCGCAATTGGGAGCCGGTACCTGTCAAATTCGGGTACCCGCTCCCCCCCGCCCCTAAAAGGTTCCAACCCTAATGAGGAGCGGGGGAGCAGTCCTTTAAAACGGAGCTCCACCCAAAAGGGGAAGTTCCGCTTTAAAGTGGTTGTAAACCTCAGACATGAAATATGAACAAAGCATATCTCTCTATAGTGTGTACTTGTCTCAATCTAGAGCACTAGGGGTTTATTTTACCAAAGGCAAAAAGAATGTGCACTTTGTAAAGTGCAGTTGCACTCTGCAAGTAGAAGTGCTCAAGAGCTTAGTAAATGAGCAGAAGCTCGCTGACTTCCATCATCCAATCATGTGCAAGCTAAAATGCTGTTTTTTTTTTTTTTTTTTTTTTTCCCTTTTCGCTGCACGTGATTGGGTATTTTTTTGCAAATTGAAGCTTTACCTCATTTATTAACCTCCCTGGCGGTCTGATTATGTCAGTATTTTTGAATGCCAAAGCGGTAGATTGTTTTGCATGGAAATTTGTTGTTTTATATTGTAGGCCTGTAATTCTTAGGAATAACTCACTTAAATCTGTCCAAACAAGAGTCTAGTAAACATCCCAGGTATGATAAAGTTTGAAACACGAAATCATAAATTATTATAAATAAAAATAATAATAATACATTTAATTCAATAATGTAATCAAACCAAAAACACTGAAATTTGTCCAAACAAGGTTGCAATATTACTAGACACTGCATACTGGTTTAGTAAACCTCCCGGGTATGAAACATTTTGAAATATGGGACTGCACAAAGTCCGACGTCACAATCAGGACAATGGAACCTGGTTTCCTTTCTGATTTTCTTTCCACTGTCATCTCGCTTCGAGCAACAAACCATGCACATCCTTGTAGGTGCTGACTTTTTCTCAGTTGGTGGGATGTAATCCCGAAAGTGACGACCAGTCAGGCGTTCTGGTTTGACAACGCCAACAGCACGACGACCTCTATTCACAGCCATTGATGGTGCTTGGTGGCTCACAAAGATACGTTTGGCAATTTTCCAAATGAAGTTAGAATGAATCACAGGCTTGTCGCTCCTTCTTTTTTTTTTTTTTTTTGAGCAGAATGTAGGCATTCCACAATCATTGTTTAAGAATATGCCTGAAGATCTTCTTGCAGTACTTCATTTTCTGTTTCCTCATTGCTAGGTAGAATGTTATTGCTTGGTTGGCTCTGTTGACACCTCCCATGGTGTTATTGTAGTCTATCACTACTTGTGGATTTATGATTTCTTTCCCATCTTTTGTGCATACCATAACAGTGGAGGTATTATGAATTGTACCCATTAGGCACACATCTTTCTTGTCATGCCATTGCAGTGCCATCATTTTGCCTTTCTGCCAGGTAACCATTTCTCCAGTCTTCAGCTTCCTATTGGCGGCCCTAACGGTTCCATAGGCATCTGTTTTGTTTTTCAGAAGAAACTCATAAAGTTCAGGAGGCGTATAAAAGTTGTCAGTTTTTTACGCAGTAGCCCTATTAGTGAAAGAACAGAAGATGTTGCCATTCCATAGTTGCTGTATTTTGGATTGAATTTTGTTCCTTTTCCAGTGTATATGACTGAATTCCAAATGTTGCCAGTTGACGATTCTCATAGCATGTAGGATTGTACGCCAAATCGCGCTCTTTGATGCAATGTATTGTACCTAGCTGAACCTTCCCTTGTAGGCCATTAGACTTTCATATATGCTGATACCTCTTTCTGGCACATAGCTCATTTGGAAATTCTTTAGAATCATTTGAGATACTTCCCAAATTTTCTTTAGTTTTGATGCAGGATGAGTAGTTTCATCAAATTCTTCATTGTTTTCGAAGTGTAAATATGTCACGATCAGGGAAAAACTGTACTCTGACATGACCATGCCAAAGAATGGAGTGGCAAGTAATTTATTGGTTGTCCAATACCACTTCTGCAGGGGTTTCCCCACCACTCCTTGAAGTATTCTTAGGCCCAAAAATTTCCAAATGTCACCTTTGGTCACTGGTTCCCACTTCCTGCTTCTTGGAAACTTCAGATGCAGAGTAGTCAATTATTGCTCTTGGTACCGGTTTGTTTCAGTAACTATTTTTTCAATAACCTCATAGGTCAGAAATAATTGTAAGTATGCCAAGGTGTTGTCATGTTCAACGTCTACTTTCATACCAGATGCTCCAGTAAATGGGAATCTTGGGGGCGCTGCATGATCTGTACCACAGTTAATAGAGCACCAAGTTCGCACATCACTGAGCTCAGTCGCAGAATTTCGCTGTCCTCATTTTCATTGTCTGATGATGAATTTCCCCACGAATCACTATCGCTAAATTCTACAAGTGATTGTAATTCACTGTTGCTGTCTTCTAGCTGGTCTAAAACCGCTTTTGACCTAAAGGGACGCTTTTTGTATGCCATGAACGTTCTCAAGTTTCCAGGCAGAAAGAATGGTAACACTGCATGCAGGGCACTGGACAAAAGACTAGGGACAAAACTGAGGTGAAATGGTTTGATACAGCAATGTCATCTTAATAGATTACAATGTATTCTGTGTATGTCATATTATAACTTTTTTGAATTTCCCACCGGTTCCGCCCCCCTGCGTCCCCACGCTCTCAGGGAACGGAACCTGGAAGACGGATGCCGGCATTGGCTGGAGGACATTGGGGGATCGCAGGACAAGATGGGGATCGCAGAAGAAGCGCTACAGTTTAATCCCGAGTGTGGCTCGGGCTTACCGCTTTTGGTACTGAAAATTAACCCTGAGCCACACTCGGGATTACCGCCAGGGAGGTTAAGCTCTGGAGCAACAGCCCTCGCAAAGTGCAACTTGACTTTGCAAAGTGCACTATCTTTTTACCTTTTAGTAAATCAACCCCTAACTATCGTTTCTGTTCGCTGCCCTGTTCCTCTGCTATAAGCATGAGTCCGCTCTGACAAGTTTACTTGACACCAAAAGAAAAAATGGTGACGGGAGGGACCTCCAGCAGATTAAGAGCCTCGGCTCGGTTCCTGTGTGCTGTGTGAAAGGGGTGGGGGGGGGGGGGGGAGTTGCGGGGTATCTCTTCCCTCCCCTCCAATCAGGTCTCAGAGTGTAAGTTTTAACAGAAGTAGCGGACAGACAGCTCTTATCTAGATAAACAGGTACAACGTATGTAGAATTATATGTTTCATCTCTGTGTATCACCTGAGGCCAGTTACTTCACTGGGTATACGTAACGGTTTACAACCAGTTTAAAGTGTTACTAAACCCAGGAGCTGCATTCACTCTGCTTGGTGTCCCACAGTACACAGAACATGGAAGTGTAATTATTTTAGTAAATATAAACTCCTAAATACCTTTTCTCATCAGCAGTTGGAGCAGTCTTGTGACTTCAGCAGATCACTGGTTAAAGTTTGTAGGAGGAGTTTTCTTTCTGCTCTAAGAGGATACAGATCCCCTGACCTTCTGTCTGGACAGAAAGAAAACCTCTCTAGCAATACACAATATACTGAGCAAGTGCATGTGGCTACGGGTTCAGTCTGTCTTATTAGGTGGACATCTGAACAAGAGGAGGGGCAGAGAAGTCAGGATCAAATGGCCTTTTTACACAATGCAGATAATTAACCCCTTAGGTTCCACAGTGAGTATAACAAGCATGCTTTACTGCATATACAGACTGTTGCGGGTTTAATAACACTTTAACACCCTGGTCACATCCAGCCTGACTTTTAAAATGTGTAACTTACAGTGAAATCGCACGATTTCAAAGTCAGGGGACATGCCGATTTCAGGTGCGATTTGCAAGACATCTGACACAGATGTCTATGCTGATCGCACCATAAGTAGTACATTTACTACTTTAGAAATCGGTGTGGCTCTGACCAAGTCAGAAGCGCACTGATATGACCGCTGTAATTGCGGACATTAGGGTGCGACTTGGCCTGCGTTTTACAAGTCGCATAGCATGCAAATCACATGCCAAGTCACACCCGATGTGACCGGGGTGTAAGACTTGAAGAAAGGGCATTTAATCATTTTAAGTAGTTGTATGCAAGATCATAGGATGGTCCACCATCCTCAAGACTCTTTGCTGTGCCTCTCTATATTATGGGTGCATACACACCTGTCTCTTAGCAGTATCCAGCGTGAATGTGGCCATAGCCAATGACCTTGGTTGTGAGCCATTTGTGTCTAGGCTCGGTCAGAGGCCCTGATCGCATGCTACCCCTTGTATGTTGGTTGGTACAGTGCTAGCATATGCACGTCTCCTTTGAGCTGCAGCCACGATGGACAAGTTCAGCTTCAAGAACAGCATTGCAGGGAGGAGCTCTTCCAATCTCCAATGCGTGTACAGTGGGCTACCCCCCCCCCCCCTCGTTGCTCACTATATACATTTAGGGACACGCTGGTTACTCAAAGTATTGAAGTAACTTACAGAAGTCGAATGTCATCCAGAAATCATGTAAAATTACTATCTGGAGATTGATTACTTTCTGTAACATGCAAACTGGCTCCATGATAGTTCTGAAGACCTTCAGGAGCTGAACTTTGTTTCTTTGTACTTTGCATTCACTTTTACAGCCTGTTATTGTGTTTTTGTTTTAAAACAAGATTTGATTCCAAAAACCTCAGGAATTGATATAATTTTTCCACTGACCTGGTTTGAATGAGGGCGGCATGTACCATGCCCTATCCACTTCCAGATTGTTTCAAATTACAGCAGCTGAGTGAAGCTTCCATAAATCTATATAGCATATGTTTTTTAGTTGATCTCTGAAATGTTAGACTTGATAAATCACATGATGTCTTCCTATTACAGGATATTCGTGTCCTTGTCTTTACCCACAAAGGGGACATCTGTATAATAGACTGAACCAGTTTACTACTACCCTGTGCAGTGTTATAATGGATTCTCTGTGTTGCCTTTGAGCCTTGTTATATTTCCTAATGTATTGGTTTTATGGGTAATTAACTAAGGCTGCAATCTCATGAATGCTGCGTCACTTAACAAAACACAGGGCACTGCTATATGTTGTACTATTAAAGTGGTACTAAACCCAGGACCCTGCATCCACTATATCTGGTCTCCCACAGTATACACAACATGGAAATGCAATTATTTTAGTAAATATAAACTGAT